TCTGATGTTTCCACCACTGGTGAGCCTGTCAAAGCAAGCATTAAAATTCTACATGCCAAGCCAGGCACAGTGATGCAGGCCTTTAATCCCAATATTCAGGAGGCAGAGGCAAGTGGACCTCTCTGAGTTCAAGATCAGTGTGGTCTACACAGTGAGCACCAGGCCAGCCAAGTCTGCTTGTATCAAAAATAAATAAATACATTCTTTATAGCCCTTACACATGATAGTAATGGGAAGAAGTTGGGTCTCCTGCAGCACCAAGTTACTCTTATATCAACAAACACTTGAGGAGTTACAGATGCAAAGAAAGCATTTTATGCACTCTTCTGCTCATTAACACGAGAAGTTTATTATGTTATAAGTGTATTTTATGGGATGTGAGATGGTGTTAATAACATGGGAAAATTGGTGTAGCTGTGTTTTAAATTATCTCCTAATAATAGATTCCTAACTTTTGGGAATGGTTTTCTCAAAGGTTTTTAAACTTCGTATGCATCCAGGTGAACTTTAACTTCTTATCCCTAAAGCATAGAGTCAGAACTGCTAAGTGTATTTATTTTATGACTAAAGACACAATGATTTCCTTACTTACTTTCTGGGCCCTGGGAATGGCTGATGCACATTTGTTCCTGTGAGCTGCCCTGCGTCTTCAAACATGGCTGACAAGTAGTCAATGAGAAGGCAGTTCTGACCCGGACACTCGGCTCGTAAAATAACCCTTGTAAAAGAACTCAGTCACTGCTCCTTTTCAAAGAAATGACAGTTTGGTATTGGGCAAGATTTGTGACTCACGTACACATTTAGGTTCAAGACAGAAACACTTAGCAGGAACAGTCTCCACATTAATGTGAGAACACAGCATTTTCTAGATCTGTGCAAGTCCTTATAACTTGTCTTATAAAGTCTTATAAAGCTTCCTTCCTTAGATTTATGGTAAACTCTTAAAGATACTTATTTCAATTAATTTCATATTCCATTACTGGAAGCTTCCAGAAGAAAAAAAAATCATTGAGCATGTGTTTTGTTTTATGATTTGGTCAGCAAACAAATTTGTATGTATTTTTTTAATCTGAATATATATGTAATATTTTATCTAAAAACTTTATCCTTAACATAAGACCATAGCACTTTATAAAATGCAGTGTGTTTTAAAAATGACATTCTTGGGCTGGGGCGATGACTCAGCAGTTAAGAGCACTGACTGCTCTTCCAGAGTACCCAGGTTCAATTCCCAGCACCCACATGGCAGCTCATAACTGTCTGTAACTCCAGTTCCAGGGGACCCAACACCCATAGCAAACACCAGTGCTCATAAAATAAAAGTAAATAACATTTAAAAAGTGGCATTCTTAACCATGGAGATGCATGTCTGTAATACCACAATTTGGGAGGCAAAGGCAGAAAGATCAGGAATTCAAGGCTAGCCCCAAGCTATGTAATTTATTTGAAGGCAAGCCTGGGCTACATGAAATCTTGTCTCAAAATAAACAACTGTACAAACAAATAAATGAATAGAAATCACACTTTTGAAACATCGGAAGGCAGAGATATGGTTGAGTCCATTTCTCCATGTCGCAAAAACTTGTCAAAGTGTAGTGGCTCCTTTTCCAGCCCATAGCATCCTACAGTTTCTACACACCTCTCTCTTTGCAAATGAAAAACGGTTTTGAGACTGGCTCCAGACTTGGGGCCTTCTGCCTGAGTGTCGAGTGCTCCAGTTCCAGGTGTCACCAGCACTCCCTCCACAAAACAGTTTCTGCTTCCTGTCAGCTCCGTGAACTTGTATTCTGTTTACTCTATGTAAGGAAGGAACTTCATATTTTCCACTTCTTACATATAAATTACTGAATTCAAATTTATAAAATGATAGGGAAAAAGCCTAAAATATAAGGATTTGGTTTTTGTTATTTTTTCCAAGAAGCAAATCCTTTTTCTTTTTTCCTTCGAATCTAAGACTTCAGGAAATTTCAACATGATTTAGTAGCGTGGATCTCATTAACACAATAGCAGATTATTGTGTAAATATTGGCAGGCCTGGAGAACTCCACACAGTTTTTGTGATATAAGAAACTAGCATTTAACCATTAGTACTGCTATCCTAATTTCATTAGCATGGCTTTTTTACACACTTTCTCCAGTGACGCAAATGCAGACCCATGGCTGCCTCCTCTCCTCATTACTTCTGTTGGACAGGCCACCCTTATCGCTTGCCAAAGAAAACCCCACAGTTCCATAGACTTCATTTCAAGGTCTCCTGTGTCCTCCTTAGACCACCAGTAGCTTTGTCTCTTCAAGATTAGAAATTGGACACTTCTTTTTGATGGTTAACAAACCAGACTCTTGTTACTTGACGTCCTACCAACAATGTAGCAAACAGCAGATTGCCAAGCAACATCACTGCATATACAACAGTAGGTCCAGTCAGAACGCATGCTGGGAACAGGGGCCCAATTAGTGGTTTCCTGGTTTGTTTTTTTAATCAAGCTTTATGAGATTTACATCAAGGTGTGATTAGAAGTCTCTGCAGGGCAGATGGTTGAAAACAGGTGTATTTTCCTTTATATCTATATACTAAAGTGGCAAAAGGCTCACTGAACTTTGGGTATTTCTGTGCTCTCCTGTAACTGGTTCCAGAAAAGTCAGGTTAAAATACAGAGCTTCGGGCTCAGATGTCTATTATTCTTTCACGCTCATCAGTTCCATGAATCTGTTAAAATGAGGAGTTTATCTGATTCTACCGACATCCCTGGTTCTCACTTGTGAATTTCCACCCATCTCCCTCCCCTCGCCCCATATACACTTTTTGTGCTATATTTTAGGAGATGCTGGTGGTTTTTGCTTTTTGTTTGGTTTGGTTTTTTGTTTTTTGTTTTTAACCTCATTTCTCTTCCCTTCTGTTCTCTGGGTTTTGTAATTTATTTTTGTAACCTTTCCAGTGATGTCCTGTGGCTTATGCTAACATATGATAAATAAATCACATGGTTGTGCTTACAGAACGACCTTCTGACATCAGATCATACTTAGGAGAAGCTGAGCGCTTGTTTGGATCTCTCTGTTGTTGCTCTTAGGAACTATGGTGTGAACTCTGCTCTTTTCCCTCTTGTCCCTCGAACGTCAGTGCTTTTGAAAAATGAAATGTTCTAAACTTCTTCATTGTTATCCTGAATAGTTAAATAGATCCCATCACTATCCCCCCCCATCTCCCAGCTCCCACTCATGTCCTTTGTAATGCTTTAAACGCAGGACGCCATTAGTGCTACCAGTAGGTGTCTGGCTATAGGGCCAGCCACTGGAGCATGGCAGCCTGCCAGGGGCCGCTTCCCTAAAGAAAACTGACTCCCCCTCCCACACAGCCAACAACTGCCAAGAGCTATTCTGTTAGCTGTGGTGCTTGCTGAGCCCACCACCACCCCCCTGACCCCCACCTGCCACCACCACCACCCCGTGACCTCCCCAGTGTGCTGGCCTTTTGGCTGGTTTGATCTTGTACTGGTTTTGTGAAGGCAGCCAGGGAAACTGAGAGCTCATCCATGCAGTAGTTATCATGTCCAGAAAGCATATTTTGAAGCAATCCCCCCAAGCCGCTTCCATGGCATCCTTGGGCCTTTGTGACAGTGGGTGTGATATGGAGGTCCCACTGGGAGCTGAGCTCCACAGGCACTTGTGTTCTGTGTTTGACCAGTTGTGACTCTATGAACTACCATACACTGCAAAAAGAAGCTTCTCTGAGAAGGGCGAACACGTATACTAATCCCTTTTATAAAGCTAACTAGTAGATTTGTGTTTTAAATCTATTTTACTCGAGTCTTCATTTTAGAAAATATACTTCAGAAGTAGGACTTGTCTTAACTTCTTGGTTACTCTACTCCGGGTGCTGGGAACCAAGCTCTGGGCCTCTAGAAGAGCTGCAAGCACTCTTAACCATCAAATCATCTCCAACCCAAACTATGTTGCTTTTAATGAAACTCCAACAGCAGTTTTTAACTTCAAACATTTGAACATGCTGCAACCCAAATGCACTATGTTGACACTTATATGAGGAACAACCATGAGAAATTACTAAAGTTTGTTTTCCACAATTAAACCATTGTTTCTATAAAAGCATAAAAAAGTTACTGCTGCTCATAGCATACAGTAGTATTGAGTCCAGGCAGAGGTGTTTCAGGTAGCATTCCTAAGCCATGTGGCTTGATGCTATACGCAGGGTGGTATGTTGAGAACCAAGGCTTCAGTAGAGCCACATGCTACACCACAGGCAAGTGCTGACAGAACCCCTCAGGTTCATCAATTAATTTTCGAGTGTGCTACTTTCAGAACCCCTTTACTGCTACCAAAGGTTTTGAGACATCCACATTCAGTGACAGGAACTTACAGAGTTTGTTTACTCATTAAATGAGTTCTTTTCTCAAATACATTTATTTGTATTCACTTCTAATGTATCCTGTTCTTACTACTTTAATAATTCTTGACCTGAATGCAGATGTTCATATGTTCTCAGTGTTTTTCAGCTTAACACTTCTGTTGCCCTAGCTTCATATTTGTATCCTATATTGCTTGAATTCCAGTCTAAGGTGTCTAAATGAAATCAGGATGTTTGCGTATTACATGGACACTTACATTGGTTTATGCTATGTTTTGAAAAGCTCTCAAACCTTTGTTTTTATTTGAAGAGCATAATTAACTATTCATTCTATCAGTTCAGCCATGTGAGCTGTCCATGCTTTCTTTCCTTGGCTGAGAATGTAATCTCCTCATCCTGCAAAGCGGAAGTGGCGATAAGCTAGTTCAAGGGACTTGGTTTGGGTTTATGTGGATCAGGTCAGTGTGCACTGTGCCCTGATGTCGTTCAGATGCTTTGCACATAAAACAGTAGAAGCAAAGGGAGACCTATTTTAGATAATGACATACCTCAGTGTATTCTTTTAGGTTGTTCAAGGAAATAAGGAAGGAAGAAGAAGGCTTTCTTATAACTGAATTATTATCTCTTGGCTTTTGCTTAGGGTGTTCCAGTAATGGCAATCAGAAACAAAATGTTATCAGAAGGGCTGGATCCAGACCTCCTTGAGTAAGTAATATTTCTAATTGACAAGGTACTAAATCTGACAGTTGTAACAAAAAATATTTCAGGCTCTCTCTACTGTTTCCTGTACAGTGTTTTATAGTTGAGAATGTCATTATCATAAATTGTGCCCCTATATTAAAAAAAAAAAGAAAGAAAGGAAAGGAAAGGAAATATCTAGGCTACTATAACCAACCCTTCAAGAAATGAAATTCATTGATGAAACTTGTCAGAATTTGGTAGACAGGCATCTGGGATTTTTGTTGTTTTTTCCCATGCTGACTTTTCCTTTGGGGTGATATGTTAAGACATTGTACACCTCTTTTTTACTTAAGCTCATAATAAATAAGAAATTATTTTATGGTGACCTAAATTAAGAAAGGCTGAGAAGTAACTTGGATCAACAATATCCTAGGTGCACACTAATGGTAATTATGAAACAGATGCCAATTTGAATGTGTATTATATTTTTTTTAGAAATGCTAAGAAATCACAGCTCAAAACTTGATAATAATTCATTCCATCTAAGACAGCGTGACCATGCCGTTCATTTCAATAAATTATATCTCTTAATGGCTTCCTCACAAGCCTTCTGCTTTACAAGTCTCCAGATACTTGTAAAGACTCTGTCTAGTTGGCGCTTTTGTTCACTCCTGTGTTACCCGGGCATTCAAACTGTGCTAGCAGTATGCTTTTGGAATTTTTCTTGGCTCCAGCACTTCAGGAAAAGGTGTGCATTTTGGAAATGAAAGACCATAAAAGTCATCTTCTCATATTTTATCTTCAAAAATGTGAAATTCAAGAATGCCTTAAAAGCTGCCAACAATGGATTTTCCAACATGTATGTTCATTTGGTTTGTTTCCAAATGGCAAAAGGGTTGACTACAATAGCATGGCTTGGTGATTGAGCAAAGCGTATCTGGAATGTTTAATATGTGTTCTGGAGATTGTTTCTGACATTTTAAAAGTAGATGGATTGTGGCATGCATTTTAATAAGAATTGAACATTTGGATCTCATCTATTTTAGTACTTGATTTGTATGATCATAAGTACATTTACCTTCGATAGGGATTCTTTCTGCTTCTAGAAATAGGCAATAGGCCGTAAATAATAATAAAGCTCAAAAATGCCCTTTAAAATGATGATGTTGCACTCTGCAGAGACGGAAAGTCAGTGTCCCATTTGCATCCCACAGGCTGGGTATGGTCTTCTGGTACTGGTATTTCATTCCTCTCTCCCAGAGGAAGCCTACTTGGTGGTTCTTTTACTCACACTACTCACACTAGCAACCTGAAGATAACTTTGCTTCTTCCCTCTTCCACATGCCTACATGCCTATTGCTGTTGGTTCTGGCTCTCATCATTTCTCATCTGAATTATTACAGTAGCACCCGATTTGTGTCTGTGCTCTCTTTCACTCCATCCTGGCAAAGCCAAGTATATCTGTTCATTACTCCACTCTTGCCTTCAACATACAGTGTCTAACTGCTGCATGGAAATACTTTCCCCATTGTGTCCAGAGTATTTTTCATGCTCTTGCTGGTTCTGTACATGTTCATTTTGTGCAGCCATTGCAAATGACCTGCATTTCTCTAGATAGATCATCTTTCTATTCCCTTATGGCATATTTATATGCTGTTTTAACTCTCTTAGGGCTCCTTCCCCCCCCCATCTTAGTGGTCTAGCTAACTTCTTATTCTATGAGGGTATTAGGTATTATCACCTTAAGAGAGCTGTAAGTAGTGAGGGGAGAAACCCTTACACACCCGGTGTGCTCTTATATCACCCTTAACAAATGTGCGTGTGTGTCATTGTCTGTAAATGTTGAGAAACATTCAGCTGTCAGGTGGATGCCAAGTTGGAGGGTAGAATTCCAGTAATATCATGGCCTTACAGAAACGCTGCTCCCCAACCACAGCCTGCAGGCTGACTTCTGACCCATTGCCTCATAGCTTCATGCCACTAACCACCAGGGGCACTGGTCAGAGTGAATTGATGCACTTCAGCAATCACCACTCCAATCATTTCCACCTCCATGTCGCTTAGTGTGAACGTAAGCCACCTTGTTCACAGAGGAATTCTGGTGCTGTGAAATTGGGGTTACACAAGTTAGGGACCTTCACTTGGGGAGAGAAGTTTGACGTGATGTTCATGAAGGAAATGTCCTATCCAAGGAGAACATAGTTTTATTTGGAATCTTAGGTACAAAATAAACCTCATCCAAGGACTTTGAGTAAAGAGTGTCCTGATTCTCTTTTCTTTAAAAGTATAAACATACACTTTCTGGTTTTATTAGCTCCAGGTAGTAAGACAAACTCATATAACTGTTGGAAGAGCTAGTCTAGATCTGTCTGGTCTGGACAGAGAACAGAACTGAAGTCAAGGGAGAAATAAACACCAGTCACTAAGCCTGTTGTCGAACTTGCTGTTGTAATCAAAAGCTGGAAGCCAAAAAGCACACTGTTTTTTTTTTTTGTTTAAGATTTATTTAATTATTATATGTACAGTATTCTGTCTGCATGTATGAAGAAGGTACCAGATCTCATTATAGACAGTCGTGAGCCACCATGTGGTTGCTGGGAATTGAACTCAGGACCTCTGGAAGAGTAGTCAGTGTTCTTAACCTCTTGAACCATCTCTCCAGCCCAAAAGCACACTGTCTTAAAGTAAAAGTTACATGATAAAGCCTGGCAGTTTTGCTGGAAAATTATGCCTATCCTTGAATTTGATATGTCTACAAAATTGATATGTCTACAAAATGTTTGATAAGTACTGAAACTTCTAATTTTTTTAATCCTCAGCTTCTCAAAATTAGTTTTGGTGCTGCTGGCATAAAAAGACATTGGAATGTCACTGCCAGCTTAAGGGAAAAATTGAAACTTCTAATTAATCTTTATTCAGAGATTAATTAATGTTATATCCAGAAATACAGAATGAGTAGATCATGCTTTTAAAATTCCCTCAATCGATGCCTAGATTTTCTTACCAGGAAACAGAAGTTTCACCCTGCTCAGAAGAAATACCAGTATTACCTAGTAATGACTACATTTGTGCCTCTGGGATGACAGATGGGCCTTTGGTCCAGGGCAACTCAGGAGCGAGTTCATGGTGATTAAGGGAGGCCCAGGCGACACTGCACTAGAGACTGAAAGTCTACCCTGCCACTTTCTGTCTCTGGAACCATGGATTGATCTATAAATGGAAAATAAAATGGTTCGGTTCCTCAGTAATGATATAGATGCTCAGTAGAGCTCTGGACAAGCAGTGCGTGTCTAGTGACTGTTCCCTGTGATTTGTGAATGTTCTAAACCATGGATTTACCACGCTTTGGGGCCACAACTTCTTTATAATCCTGAGTTGACTGTGTACCATCATGACATATTTCATACACACAATATGAACTTTTAAAATTATACCCAGTTTTTTCAAACTGGAGGTCTCTATTTCCAATTATGTAGCAAAGAACAAACTTTATTTTTACCCTGTGTTGGGGATCGGATCTGGAGCTGAGCAAACTAGTAGGCTGCTACTCACCTGGGCTCCAGCGTATCTGTCCTGGCTGGTTTTATGTCAACTTGACACAAGCCAGAGTCATCAGAGAGGAGGGAGCCTCGATTGAGAGAATGCCTCCGTAAGACCTGGTGACATTTCAACTGATTAAAAGTAGATCTCAATTCCAAAATATAGGTGGGATTTATTTGGTCTGGTTTTTAATTGCAGTTCTTAACTGATTACTGGCAGCTATCAGCTAGAATGTATGGGACATTTGTGTTGAGGCATGTACCTAGAATGTATGGGACATTTGTGTTGGGACATGTACCTAGGACTCACAAATCATAAGTACACACTCCACCAATGAGATACACTGTCATCCCAACTTTGTCTGATTTTTTTAACTTTTATTATTTTGAAAATTAAACACATAAGTTGTATTTTTCTTTTAATCATTTCTACTCCTCCTTCTTCCCTTCAACTCCTTCTGTGCCCACCAGCTCCCTCCAATTTATGGCCCCTTCTATAATTTATATATACATATTTATAATGCCTATGTATATATGCACCCACACATATATACTAACTGTAGTACATGTGCATATGCACATGTGTATATATTCTAACTATATATAAATATATGTATACACACATATATCCATCCTACTTAATCCATTTAGTGTTGTTCGTATGTATATGTTTTAGACTAACCATTTGGGATTGGATAACCCAATTTTCCTTCTCACAGCTGCCATTGATTGCCTGTAGCTGTTCATCTAGGGGTGGAGTCTTGAGGTTTGTGTTTCGCTGGTACTGTCTCTGTTCAGAGCCCTAGAGTTTTTCTTCCCTCCAGTGTGCCTGTTGCTATAACGTAGAGCTCTGACAGACCACTAACTTACAACAATATCATAGGACATCATAATTTTATTATGACATTGAAAACCTATAGGATAGCCATTTGAGTAAATACTCCATCCCCTCTACCACCTTCTGTTCAGCCATAGTTATTCTAACAATATTTTGGTATACTGTTTTCATTAAATTCAGCGGCTTTAGATGTAAAGAAAATTAAAAAGTGATTTTAAACTAACTGCATATTTTCCCAAAGAATGTTTATTTGAATTTTATATCCTTTAAGTGCCTGTGGTTTTAAACACAAAGTTAAGTCTTCATTTACAGAAAAAAATTAAATCAGCAATGTATGTATTTTAAAACTCTCTTCATTTAAACTAGCTTGAGCACAAAGGGAAGTTACTGGTTCCGAGCTGAGAAGTACAGACAGTGGACAGCATGGAGAGGCCAGAGACTCAGGGCTGGATGGCTGCAGACATCGTCCTCTCCTCCCTTCTCAATACACCATAGGCTTCCTACTGCTAGGGTCTTCCCTGCTGGGATCCGAGAAAGGGAACCAACAGGAATTTTTAGGTTTTGCCAGTGAATAAAAAGAATGTTTCTTCTGCTCCATAACCCAAAGCTGGTTTCTAAAGTAACATTCTGATTGCACATGCTTGAGT